CCTGGCTGGGCTGGAGTTCAGCCATATGCTGTAGTCATCCTTTCATTAATTTTATATTTATGGTTCCGTGATAGTGGGAAGGACAATCTTAAGCAAAACATAACCTATAAAAAACAACTGATAATTGTACAACAGGATAACAGGAGTTAAAAATAAGGTATTGTGTGTTTGAAAACTGCTGAGAACAGATTACAACTGTTATCACTGTCCAAAAATGCTAAGTTGTTATGGTAATGCATATATTAATTATTTTGATGCATTCATTCCACAAGGCATACCCATATCAAAGCATCATGTAGTATATCTTAGATATATTCAATTTTAATTTGTCTGTTATAAAGAGTCGCACAGGAAGTGGGAAAGACTGTTTTAATTATGAAAAGCTTTTTCTTATTCAGAAAAGAAAATTCTGGTTACAGAAAATTTGTCTGGCAGAGGCCAACTTTTGCTTGGTCTTTTGGCCTTTTCTGAGACTGAGAATTGAACCTGAGAGTCTGGGAGTAGTTTGATTCAAGAACCAGAGTTCTTGTCCCGACTATGGACTTGGGACAGTGTGTTGAAGCTGGTCACAAGAGAAGATAAAGCCAGAGAGGAAGTAGCAAGATAATACGCTGTAGAAGAAGTGAGGCAGGGGCACGCTGTGCTGGGCAGAAATGGAGGGTTTCTGAGTAGGACTTTAGGGTAATTCTGTTTTGTCTTTGTTGCTTAAGTAGGGCTGGAGACATGTTCAAATGATGGAGAATGTCTGTCTGTCTGTCTGACTGTCTGTCTGTCTGTCTCCATCTTTTTGCCACACTGAGCTCTTTTCAGTTGCTCTCTACTCCACAGTGAGGCTGTCTCTTACCACAGCAGTTTGGAGAGTTTGCTCGGCAGCTTGTGGGTGCACAGATGTGATGTGATAGCAATAGCCACAGAGTCTTCTGTGCAAATATGAGGATAATGGTCAGCCTATGACCTCCCAGTGAAACAGAATGCCACTTTCTGGGCCTGTGAGATCTTCCCAGAGTCCAGAAAGATAATTGGAATTTAATCATTAATATTCAGAGTTTAAGGAGGTGAGAAGCCTCTTAACCATCTGACCTGTAGGGAAGATAAAGCCGGTTTCTATTCAGAGTATTTGTGTTTCTAGAGACTTTACATACATATGTATGAAGCCTAGTTCCTTATTTGGCTATAACCAGGCTAATAAATGACTGACTTTCTGTCCCCTGTGAGTTTTACAGGACAAGAGAGAGACAAAGAGACAGACAGACACAGACACACACACACACACACACACACACACACACAAAGGAAGGAGAGAGAGAGAGAGAGAGAGAGAGAGAGAGAGAGAGAGAGAGAGAGAGAGAGAGAGAGAGGGAGAGAGAATTTCTTGTTCCTGTTCAACTTGTGCTAAACTTTTGTTTGTCTCTTATTACATACTTGTCCCATTCTGCACTTGGGTAGATCCATATCATCAGGAGAGAATGAGAGGCAGAAATACACACAAACACACATTTGCTTTCAAAGATGAATATAGGCCTCTAGTTTGGGACTGAAGTGTAAAGCAAGTGAGCATCTGCCTTTGTGTAGAACAAGGATATCACTGTCATTGCCTTGTAATGACATCGTGGCTTTGTCTGAACCTTGAACCCCCTAAGGCTTGCTGATCTCAGAGAGACTCTTTGTTTCAGCCTTGGTTTAGCACTTAGGTCCCTTTGCTTCTTTACTTTCATGATCTTTTAGTAGACCAACCAACTAACTCAGGAACTCCAGGGAACTACAAATAGTCCTGTCTGCTCTACCTGCTGTATATGTGTGTGTGTGTGTATGTTTATGTATATATGTGTGTATGTATGTGTGTGTGTTAATGCATGTGTATATACACTTGAGTGCATGTGCACTTAGAGGCCAGAGGTTGACATTTTCTTCAGTCATTCTCCACCTTAGGTTTTGAGACAGAACTCTCACTGATTCAGCAGGACTAGCTGACCAGCAAGCCGCAGGGAACCACTTGTCATCCCTAGTGCTAGGATTGCAGGTGCATGCTGCCATGCCTGGCATTTTACCTGGGTGCAGCGAATCCATGTTCTCATGTTTGTACAGTAGACACTTCACTGAGACATCTCTCAGGACTTGATTCAGAGGCTCCCCATCTTTGTACAAGTCTGATGCTTGGCAGAGCCTTGACCTATGGGAAAGATGAGGCAGGCTTCTATTTAGAGTATTTGTGTTTCTGGAGATTTTAGTATAGTTCCTGGTTCTATTTCCTTCTTATCTGTCTCCCAGAGAATCTTAGAAACATAGAATGAATGATGGAAATCTGTGATGTTAACGACATTCTGCCCTTAACACAGACACCTGCTCTGTATCTGTGTTAAGTATCTGCTCTGTTTGATGTTTCAATAGTTAGTATTAAAAATTTTTATTCAGATTTGCTCTATCTACCTACCTATCTGCCTACCTACTTACCTACTTACCTACCTACCTACCTACCTACCTACCAGCACTGTCTTGTTGAAGTTTACTATCAGATAAATGACTTTATTTGAAGGAGTTTCTCCATGAATGAATGCCTAAGAATCAATATTCTCCTTCTCTCTCTCTCCCTCTCTCTCTCCCTCTCTCCCTCTCTCTCTGTCTCTCTGTCTCTCTGTCTCTCTGTCTCTCTGTCTCTCTCTCTTTCCTGACTGCGGGCAGGTACTGTTTTAGCTACTGTTTTTCTTCTAGAAGGATAAGTTTAGTCCAAAGTAAAGAAAACAATCAATACTTAATATGGATTCACTAATTATCAGACACTTTGTTAGGAAATATATATTAATATATGTATATACATATGTATACATATATATTAGTATGTGTATTAATATATGTACCTGTGGAGATATGTACATATACATGCCCACAGTGGCTCTGGCTTTAAAGTGACATCCCACCTCCACCAATGCTCCAGATTGTCCCTTCTCAGGAGTGTCCGTCTAGCTTAGTAGAATATAAGTGTAAAAGGAATGGAAGCAGAAATCAACTGCCTCATCTTGATATTAAAAGGCCTATAACTAAGAGTGGCTGGGCCTGGGCTAGGGAGCCACAAATTTTAGGTATTTTTATTTGATGTTTGTACCTCAGGGCTATATACCCTTTACCCCTTACTAGTCTCTGCTGTTTCAGGTGAAGGTCCGGCAAATGTGTGGAGAAGCTAAGATTGCTTCCCTAGAGCCCTCCTCCTCTCCTCCTCTCCCCCTGGAACGCCCGATGGTGGGTGGAGTTAGAGCAGCCTGATTCATCTCTCCAGCAAAACTCCAGCTGGCTGCTCCCTGGGGCCTCTCTCTCAGATCTGGAGCTGATAAACTAATTGGGGCTAATATGATAATGGGCAGTGATGACATTTACTGCTTTTATAAGGCCCAGGGCATACATTGGCATGTTAACAGAGCCTTTGGCAGCTAGATAAAGTTGAACTGGAGGGGAGGTGGGTTTATTTGCTGGAGGTTAGAGAAGCAGAGAAGCTTTACAGAGCCACCCTAAACTCTACCACATTAAGGACTCCAATACCTCATTTAAAGACCTACTTTCTTCCAAGACCCCTCCAAACTCATCCCTGCCTCACCACTATATTTTGCATTTGAAACGTCTCTGAATTCATGGTACTTAAACCAAGCAACAAGTACGAGAAAGTATTGCAGCTGGCTGGCTCCTGTCCCAGTTAGCAGCACAACAACCATTTGAGTTCTGTTCCTTTCATGAACTTTTGCATATATATATAAACACACACACACATATATATAGCATATATACATATATATGTATATATACAGTGCATATATATGTATACACACACACACACACACACACACACATATATATATATATATATATATATATATATATATATATATATATATATAATTATTTTTTTTCACAGAAGGAATTTGATCACAAAATCTTCTCTTTGCCAAACTCCTCCTGCCTTCCAACAAAGGGAGAGGAGGCTTTCTGAGTTCAACATACTTGCCTGGGATTCTTTGCTCATAGAAGACTGGTGTTCAGAAAGACTCAAAAGGGAGAGTTAATGTTTAGGGGATTGTATTTTTCCTGGCCAGGGTAGTTGCTCACCTGTGCAGGTGGAGAAACATGTGGGACCCAGTGAAGCAAGAATAGGAAACTCCCTGTGCTCCCTTAGCTCAGGGGGTGGGGATCCGTGAAATCGTAGATTCCTCCTCAGCAGTCCATATCTTGCTCAGACTGTTGGCATTTTGGTTTTCTTTTTTCTGGATCTTACCGGGCGGGTTGATAAACAGTAAGATGCATCGTCTAAGAGTCAAGGGGAAGGGAAGATAAACTGGTCAACCAGCCCTTGTTGCTGAGGAGGATTGTTGCCCGAAGACATTTCATAGTGGCCCCTCCCTTCCAGGACCATCCCCTCCTCCAAGGTGCTTACCTGGGGCTTGGGGAAAGCCTCTGAAATGGTCAAGAGTCACTACAAAGAGTCAGTCATGATGCCCAGAGACAGAATGGGCTAGAAGCTCCTTCCACGCCGGGTACCTGCACAGCCAGGGCAAAGATCTTGATGACATAGCAGAGGATTAAATACAGGTTAGAAAATGAGGCGGATGTTTAAGAGTACCTCCAGCCCTCTTCCTTCATTTGCTTGACAGGGACTTGGCTTTTTTATTTTCCCCCCCCCCCCCCAGCATCTTTGGGGAGTGAGATACTTTTCACCTGAAACTGTCTTTAAGCTGAAAAGCACAGTCCCCACCAAATCAATTCCTCATCCATTAACAGGTTGTCTCTGTTCTTGAGACACAGGCATAACCTGGTTAGACCTGTTTTGTTTGAACACTAACGTGTGAGTTGGCCAAATGCAAATGAGCCAATGTTTGTAATCCTTTATTTTATTTTTTTAAAGGACCCAGCAGCCAATCAGAGGAGGGGGAAGTGACTTAGGGAATTCCCGGTTGGTGGCTTATTGCTTAACATCCTACAAAATGATTTTAAATTATTGTCATATGCATTTATCTTCACTCTGATGAGAGCTCAGACGTGATAAGGCCGTGGCTCGCCATCCCGGTAGGAGCTGGTGTGATAGCTTCCTGCCTTCTTCTCATCGCCAGAGCCATAGGACTTCCCACCCAGAATCTTTAGGTAAATGAGGTAAGTCCTCGCATTTAAACTTCTTTTGAACCTGGAATTCAAACACCTGTGTGGAAAGACAAGCTTGTCTTGAAGCAGACAGGTGAGAATAAACCAGAGCCTCCGGGAGGCAGCTGGCAGGAAGTAGAGCTTGTGTTACCTGGGCTCACCCACTGGGTCTTGTTAGAGTTTATTTGGGTGAGAGCCGCTGGGTTACTCGGTGTGAGCCTTGTCTGTGAATTCCCTACAGTGTCTGGACTTCCAATCAGCAAGAGTCTAAAAGTCCCCCATTTCTCTCTGCCCATGTGGTATGACAAAGCTGTGTCCCTGGGTTAGATTTATCTGGAATAAAACTCAAATGGAGACAGGTGATTCTGATGTCGCTCAGTGACTAACTGGCTGGCTAGGGACTGTTCGGGCTCAGAGTGTATGGTCTCACAGTCTAGAGGTATGTTTGCCGATATTTCTTCAGACTCAGGAGCTACAGGGAAAAGCCAATTCACCTTCAGTGTATTCCAGTTTGAGGAGATAGGTGTAGGTAGGTAAAATATATTCACAAAGGTGGCAGGAATCAGGTGGCCAAGGTTAGGCAGATAGTACCCTTAAAAATGATCTGACGCAGAAAGAAAACGCATCTTGGGTAGATGATTGTACCGTATCACAAGAGGACAGACCAACCCTTTGTTTTTCCACAATGGAATACTATGACCAGACAGGCAGACATGACTCACCAGCAACAAATGCCTCCAATGTAGGGACTCTTTTGATTTTGTTTGTACACCATGAACAAGTGTTGGTCCCAGTGTGGATCAGGCTGAGCACAGTCAGGAATGAATCTTGTTGGTTCATGAGAGCAATGAAGTGATAATGTCACGTATACTTTCTTGTCTTCCTTGGGACTCTCTGAAAACTGCTGTACATAATACATGTTTTAGATGAAGTGTAAGATTCTCTGAGTCTGAGTCCTCAGGTGTCTCCATTCTTTTTCCACATTGATCTCAGGGAGAATGGGGAGTTTGGAGTCTGAGATTTCTGACAGAAACACCAATTGGTTCTGTGGGCATTGATGTGAGGCTGTATCAAGACAATATCTTTCAATGAACAAGGAGAAGTTCGGGATCATGAATGGCTGGGTGCTACTTTCTCCAACATCCAGGGAAGAGTCAATTTCTACAGAAGAGATAAAGATATTTTTTTTCTCTTTACAGAAGAGATAAAGAGAATTTCACAGTTAAGAATGCTATTAGAATATGAAGCCATGTGGGACCAGTTTTTGGCATTGCTGGCCAGTGGCATTTACAAACTGTGATGGGAGAGACCAGTTATTTGGAAGTTTGAAACCACATTTAAACACTATCAAATGAGTACCACCTCCCATGTTTCTATTTCATTGGGCAGAGAAGTTAAGAGAGTGATCTTGAGGAAGCTGTGTTGGAAGTTCTATGACCACTCGTGACACCCTTATTCAGGACTTCTTCCCATAGTCGTGGGTATGGAAATGTGTTTGACCCAGGCCTCATTTATGCAAAAGGTCCCAGAGTCAATAACATTTGTTGTCGTTGTTGTGTGTACTAAAAATTATATTACCTATGTCCACACAAACTTTCTGATGTTTTCTTTATTATATTGTTATACTGCGATTTCTCATGCAAGTGTCTTGGGCCTTTCTAGACCTCTGACAAGCTCCACTCACATTCATGATTCTGCATTTGTGGGTACCCTGAGCGTCCCCCATTCATTGGCTGGTGTTACCTCAATCCTCTTTCAATACCTTCGAAGGCCTGAGGAAAAAACAGAACTGAGACTTCAGTTATGTTCTCGCTGGTATTCTCTTAGCTAGTTGGTATTAATAGCAGGTCAGAAGGTGAGCGCTTTTGGGTCGTGTTCTGCTCTAAGGAAGTGGGATTTTGCTTTCTGGACTCTTACAAGGTTTTATTTCCTTTTGATATCCTCCGCATTTTGGAGATTTGAGAACTAGGCTGTGTTCATTGGGCTTTCTTGCATTTTTAGCACGTAAGAATGTTGTTTCATATTGTATTGTCACACGCAGTTGTGGAGGCTTACAGGAGATCTCAGTCTCTTCTCCATTTGGACGGAGGCATCCCTAGGCCTTTAAAAACAGATATGGCCTTTGAAGACTTCTGGGAGGTGAGGTGGGGTGGTTACTGCAACATCAAAACTGAGCCCAACAACACATGGCTCTCCCATGTGAAGGAACCTGGATTTCAGTGCCACCGTTTTGCTGGTGTTTTAAGCCATTTCTCCAGTTCAGCTGGCTCTCCTATTCACGGAACTGAAGCAACAGACTTTTCTGTTGTGGGTGGGGCCCCGGTTGGGAAGCATTGGGTTGGTGTTTCAAGACCATACACTCTGACCCTGCTTCTGTTACTATTTAACTGAGCTCTGAGCAGTGGCTTTCAGCTTGGGTAAGACAAATTTGTAGTGGGGTCTTCCTCAGAGTAGTGAAGTAGGAGGCTGCCACACTGCTCAACTTTCCTTAAACTGGTTCCCTACAGCTGATGGGAGAGGGTGGATACTTCATTTTATTTGGCATTTTTATACTGAACTGTTTATAAAATAATTTTAAGTGATATGATTTGTTCAAAGGAGCAGTTTTGCTCTTATTAAAATTTGTGAGTTTTTCTTTAAATGCTGGTCAGAATTTTAAAGGGACAGGTACTAAGATGTGCAGGAAATCAGTGTGTCATGGGGAGAATGGCTGTTCATAATAGCTTATCTTAGGATGGGACATATTTTCTAACTTAATGGCATCATGGTGAAGAAGGCAAGATGGTCTGTCTGTACTAGACAATTCTATCAGTCCTTTAAAATCGGTTGATGAAAACTTTATTACCTTTCAGACAGGAACAAAGATTATTTCTTAGGGACCTTCCCTGAGGAAGGTCTGTCTTTGGAGTGACCAGAGTATATGGTACAGGGAAGGTGTTTGGTGGGACAGTGCTCACCATGGCAGTGAGGAGACCTGACAAGGCTGTGTAGCCCAGACCAAAACACTGCACCTCTCTGGGTTTTAGTTTCCTCTTTTGTACATCCTGATTATTTTAAAGATATGTTTGAACTTACAGATTCTGCCACCTATGGTGGCCAAAGTTAGAGGTACCAACTATGTTGAGGATTGGGAGGATTACTGTTCATGAGATCAGAGACAGAGGTGGCAGATGCCCGGAGACAGGAAGATTACTGGAGGCTCTTAAAGGTCTCCTTTAGGGTCTTCAGAACTTTGATTGAGACTGGTGAGGTATGAGGCTGGCATCTGGCACCTTCACAGGGACCTAGAGTTGGTGGGATACCAGAACTGGGTGACTTGTGATCAACAGGGAGCAGGTGATTCCTGATTAGCATTTGAAGAGTCAACCACGGCTACCACAGGATCAGCCCAAGGTGAGCCTTCCACACACCCGCATCCACTCAGCCTGAACTACATTGGTTTGTCCATGGGCGACTGAGCAGATGAGAAAGATATGGACCCTGTGAAAGATATGGACCCTGTCTTAGAGGAAGACTCGATGGTAATCATGTGGGCGACAGGGCTGGTTGGGCCAACCTGCAGCCTGTGCTGTTCCCAGATGGCTCAGCTCTAGATCTGCAGCAGACAGAGCTTATAACCGGGTCAAGCATAGTGTCCCACTTAAAGAGGCTCCCAGAGTATTAATTGACTTGGTTTTAAAAGAGACATCCAGTTAAATGCTCCCTTGAAAATGATTTCACTAGCACCTAACCACAGTCTGTCTATGGCTTGCATTCCGGGGCTAGGCTCCTTATCACCTGGTCACTGTCTCACTTGTCTCCCCTCTCCTGACCTCTCTCATTTACTTCTTAGCTTTATAGTCTGCTGGTGAGGGGTTTTGACTATTTGTTTGATGTGTATAGGTGCACTCAAAACGTGATTTCTGATGAAACAAGCCTAAAATAAAAAGGGCCAAACAGATAATTGTGTTCCCGTAAAAAGGGACCAACCGTCCCATTAATCCCACTGTTTTACTATGAAGACTCCTCTCAGATAACCTTGTCTAGATGCACGCTTTCTTTGATGTAGCAGTGGTGAAGTTGAAGCGGCTTATCTGCTGCGTCTTGCTCTCCTTGTATCACAGACTCATGATAAGCAGACTCTGGGCGAGGATTTTAAGCCAGGTATGAATCTGAGAGACTTTAGTTATTATTAATCCTTCCCCCACCTGATACCAGCGTAACCCTAATGAGCCTCTCAGAATAAGAGATTTTTCTTGTGTCTGACAACAGAGTGCTGAAGATGGCCATTGTGCAGTTTGCCCTGGGATCTCTCTTAGGAGCCTTTTGTAAGCTTTCCCTCAGTAGGGCTGGTGTTACAGTCTGGAGGAAGAGATGAGTGGATTTTGAAGGGGGAGAGCTAATATCTCTTTTGTCTTCCAGGTGACTGCTGACCAGGCTTGTTTTGGCTTTTTGTGGACTGTAGATTTAGCTTGAAATTTAGCCTATGCCTAACTTTGGTTTTTTTAAAAAATATTTATTTATTTATTTTATGTATATAAGTACACTGTCAGTGTCTTCAGACACACTAGAAGAGGGCATCAGATCCCATTACAGATGGTTGTGAGCCACCATGTGGTTGCTCAGAATTGAACTCAGGACCTCTGGAAGAGCAGTCAGTGCTCTTAATTTAACCACAGAGCTATTTCTTCAGCTCTAACTTTGTTCCTTTTAAAAAATTAAAGAGCAGCTAGTTGCAATTCCGCCATCTCCCCTTTACTGGCCAGAGGCTTGTGGAACTTTGTGAATAAAGACTGTTTGTGTCTGAAGGGGTGGGCAGCATTGGGTTCTCATAGTGGGGGCAGGGGTTTGCTGGAAAGTGATAAGATGAACCCTGGATGTAGAGTCAGAATACCTGACTTTAAATTGGACACTACCACTGGGTGGTTGAATGCCTTTGGGTGAATTCTGTAATTGATATCATCCAAAACTCTTCATCTGGAAAATGGGGTAATAACATCTACTGTATAGGGCTAGTAAGGATTAAATTAAGC